AATAGCAATAGGACATTGGGGTAATAGCAAATAACTCCATAAACCTACTATATATGTATACATATGGATGTACATGTGTGTGTGTGTGTGTGTATATATATATATATATATACACATACATACATACATACATACATACATACATACATACAGATATACATAAAATCTGTCTGACTATACCTGTAAGGCACAGACATTGGACAACCAATCCAAGAAATGAATATATGCATGTAACAGCAGGTGGCAGCCAACCTTGGTTCATTCCAGAAAGCCTAAACAGATTGGAGCGATTAGTACTTAGATGTGAAACCACCAGGAAGATGGTCTCTGCAGGCTAGATTAAAGCATAAAAATAAAATCCCCACAAGCCAATGGCAAATTGCTTTCATATTGCTGCCAAAAAAATGATGTGGATATGTCTGCGTAATTGCCAGTGGTTGAGCTCAACTCATGTCAGTCTCTATGTTTAATATCATGTAAGTTGAAATGCCTTCTAAAAATCCTTCCCATATGGACATTTGATTGAAGTGTCCTCATTCTGGCATATCTATAACTATATCAGAATCAGCAACAGTTGAGAGCAGTTGCTAAACTGGGAATTTTATCTCTAACATGCATAGAGCAATTGGTCTTATTTCACAGCAGGCAGTGGAACCTAATCATTTATATATAGCTCTCAAATCTATATCTAAGTAGAAATCTAATCTATATCTAAGCAGAAATCTATAAGCAGAAATCTAAGCAGAAATCTAAGCAGAAATCTAATCACAAATAGGATGGAACACCAAGAGAAAAACCCAGTTCTATAATTTACATGAACTAAAAAGAATATATTCCAGAAAAATCAGTGGCAAACTGTTTCTGTATAATTATGAAGAAAAGATGCCCTTGTGGTCACCAGGAATTTGTATCTTTAGCTGGCTTTATGCGAGCACACTTCCTCATTCTCAATTCCCCATTTGACATGTGAGGGGAGAACAACCATGCATAATTGTTGTATTATATAATGCATGGTGGTCCTCGTTTAAGGATCACTCGTTTAGCAACTGTTCAAACTTATGATGGTGCTGAATGATTGGTAGTTATGGCTGGTCCTCAGAGTTCCAGCCATTACAGTGTTCCAGCGGTCATGTGATCATGAGTTCTGACCTTCCCTGCCGGCTTCCCACAAGCAAAGTCAATGGGAAAGCTAGCAGGAAGTCCGAAGTCATGGTCATGTGAGGTACTCATTTAATGACCCATGCAGTCCTCACTTAACAACAGCAACTGGGACTGCTGGAATTGCCATTGCTAAGTGATGCAATCATGTGACATCACACTTTATGACTGTGTCACTTAGTGATGGCAATTCCAGTCCCAATTGCTATATTTAACCAAGGACTACCTGTATATATAAAGCTCTTTGAGGAGTTCAAAGAGCTATGCAATTATTATGCATCATTTCTGCTGGTGCTTACTATATCCATTTCTACTGTTGTTCTAAGTCTGTGTAGGTACATTTTTCATTTCCACACCCAATCCTAAACTCATCAGTATTCCAGTGAAGTTAGTTATCCAGTTCAACAATGAATGTAGCAAATGCACATGACAGATTTTCAAATGTTGATATTTGCATAGATACATCTGGGTGCACTTTTCTACAAGAAAGCAAATTCATTGTTGAATGAATAATTCTGAAAAGTGAATTTCAGAAGTAGAAGGCTGGATAAATTATTCCCACTATTGGCACTCAAAGCTAGAAAGATGTTACTTTCCTTCCTGAATTAACTGAATTGTGTGGCTTTTAGGCACTGAGTTTTCATTAAAGGAATACAGACTTAATTGTTTGGGTTCTATGATCTTTTATGGAGTTTAATGTAGCTAACAAAGAATTATTTTAACACACCAAGTAAATCATGGCTCAGAAGACATGAAATGATAATAA